AGACCTCAATTAAAAACAAACAAAACCTACACAGACAAGGTTATCGCCAAAAGAAATGAGTGCTTAATTCCCCCAAAAGATATATGCAAGACAGTTCAGTTTTATTCATAAACTGAAAAGCAGCAGTACCCAAAAATCCATAAAGAGTAGAACAAATAAATTGTGGTACATTCGGGCCTGCCGAGTGGCACGTTGGTTAGGAATGGGCTTGGGATGCCAGCTCTGAGCAGCAGGGTCCTGGTTCGGATCCCACATTAGGGCCAGTGACGCTGCACCCTCTACAGCTAAGATGGTGAACAACAGCTCCACCTGGAGCTGGGCTGCTGTGAGTCGCCAGCGACAGTGTAGGCTGCAGTGGAGCTGCAGTGGGCTCCTGAAAGCTACCGTGTGTAGCCAGCAGCCAGCGTAAGTGGCCAGCAGCCGCAGTGAGCGGCCGTCCAGAAGCCGGCGACTCATCTGCCTCACCTGGGAAGAGCACAATGATGGTGCCAGCTTGTGCCAGTGAAGCAACATCCTCCACAACTAGACTGAAGAACAAAAGGACAGCAACTTTTCTGTTCCCCTTCCCCGATTCCCCAACGCTGTTCCCCTCCCTCGATTCCCCAATAAAATCTTAAAAAAAAAAAATTGTGGTACATTCAAGTAATTGAATCACAGAAATGAAAAAGAATTACAGGTACTCACAACATCATGACTGAATCTCACATATAACACAGAAAAAAGAAACCAGACACAAAAAAAGTGCACGCAACATGATCCCCTTTACATGAAGTTTGAAATCAGGCAAACAATCTGTGGTGACAGAGGTCAAAATAGTGATTATGTTTTGGGAGTGGGTCGGGGGAAGAGGACAGATGGATGTTGCAAATGTTCTGAATCTTGATCTGGATGGTGGTAAGAATTCATTGAACTGTACACTTAAGATTTATGGACTTGTATGTAAGCTGTACTTAGTAAAAATAGTAAGCAGGCAAACAAAAACTATCCTGATATCATTCTCACCTCCAGTGTTAGAAAAAACATATAAAAACTAAAGTTATCAACACAGTGTTGGGAGACTATGACTTAAAGGTATTCTCATACGCTGCAGGTATAGTGTAAACTGGCATAACCTTCCAAACAAGTTGTACAATTAAAACTGTGAATTTTATGGTTTGTAAATGAGACCTCAATTAAAAACAAANGCCTTCCACAAAGAAATGAGTTCATATTCTCCTCCCACCCTCATATCTGTGTGGCTGCCTATATTTGCCTTAGCCAACAGGGTATGCTATGTGACTTCCAAGGCTAGATCATTAAAAGACTACAACTTCCGACTCGCTCTCTGTTCTCTGGGGTCATCTGCCCTTGAAATCCAGCCAGGTGTTGTAAGGAAGCCAAGACCACATGGAGAAACCACATGTGGTTGGTGTTCTGGCCTACACTCCCAGCAAAGCCCTGAGCCTACAGCCAGGTGTTAGGACCAGACATATAAATGAATGAGCCTTTAGATGATTCCAGCCCTCAATCTGAACATTCCAGCTGAGGCCCCAGAAATCAGGGAGCAAAGATGAACCAGTCTGGCTGTGTCTATCTGTATTATTGACCCACATAAACCATGAGAAATAATAATTATTGTCATTTTAAGCCATTGAGTTTTGGAGTAATCTGTGAGGAAGCAATAGATAATGTAATCCTTTATTTTCAACATTTTAATCAACAACTCAGGGGAAAAGAGAGAGAGTGAGACATATACACTTATCAAATTAGCAAAGGACAAGACTATGAAGGATTGCCAATACTTTGGATGATAATGTTAGGGTTCAAAATTATGTTGAAAGATTAGACCAAGAGGCTAAAACTAATAAAATGAACTTTGCAAAAGAGGAAAATATCTCCTATTTAGGTTGATAAGAAATAAAATATAGAGTACGGGAGAAATGGCTTAATTCATGTGAAAACAACCTGGGACTTTTCACTGACCAGTAGCTTGACTTGAAACTATAATGTATCTTAGCTGGCAAAAAAAAAACAAAACCCAAAAACAAAAACAAAAAAAAACCCACAAAAAAACTGTTGTTTTAATAAAAATGACGTTCAGATCCAAGTAATAAAGTCACTATATTCAGATCATGTCTAGTACTGTTATATTTATTTTTCTTAAGTGCATTTTATTCAAATCTTAATAATAAATATATAATTACTATCCTTTTTATAATGCTAATTATGGGCCAGACATTGTCCAAAAGCCTTCTGTATATTAACTCATTTAACCCTCCCAATAACCCTAGGAGGTAGGGGCCACTATTATCTCCATCTTACAGTCCAGGAAACTGAAGCACAAATTAAATGACTGGCTAAAATCTTATAGCTGATAAGTGGGAGAGGTAGGAAAGTATTATATTTTAAATGTGATGGGCAACAAAGAGGAAAATCAGGAGAGTAATCAGCACACACAGGGTTGGAAGCCAAGTGCTATAAAGAATGATTAGGATAACTGGGTAAGTTTAGTTTGGGGAAGAGAAGGCTTAGAGACACATGAAAACAGTCTTTCAATACTTGAAGAGTTGAACAGTGGGTAGAGAAAGTGGTTCAACTCTAGAACTTGGATTAATAGAAAAAAGTTACAAGAAAATTTGGGTTCAAGAATAAGGAAAGACTGTCTAAGAAAGATTTTCAACATAAACTTTTGTGTCGCTTGAAGTGTTCAAAAAGAAGCTGTATTCCTGGATTTGGAGAGGAGTTGATCAGAGCAGTGCTTCTCAAACTACCTGTGGTGAAAGATCAGTTTGGTTTCCCCCACCAATCTTTCACAGACATATACTTTTGTTCTATATTAAGTTCCATGGGACAAGTCCACTGATTACATGCTTGGCTGTCATGGCTAAGTCAAATTGTTATAAGAGTTTCTAAACATTCATTCTTAATTTCTTTACTTATCTCACTGGGACCAGTAACCACCAGTTCTCAGACAGGCGTCAGGCTGGTGACCAGCTTGAGCAGTACCGCAGTAGGTGACCCCTATTCTGGTATCACAATTACACTGCGGCTCTGTGACACCTTTGACTATTAAGGAGTGAAGTGCTCAAAGTTAACAGATTTCCTCCTATTGCTTTATTAAAACTTTTTTCTTTCTCTACCTTCAAGTTATTGTTAGTATTTCTAAACAGCATTTAGGATTACTGAGTGTTTCAACTCAAATTACAGGCATTATAATTGATCAAGCGTATTTTTACTTCTTAAAATCATGACATTATTCTCTTAATAATGATCTTAGAAAGAATAAATATGTAAGTTTAATTATTTAATTACACAATTAAGAAACCTAATTTGTGGGGTTGGGAGGTAACCTTACCTAAAGATTCAGTGGTGAGAAAAATAAACAAGGCTTGCACTGTCCAAGTTTGCAGTGTCAACATCTTGCATAGATATTTCTGTAAAAGACACATGTGGTATTATTTTTCTCTTATTACACATAAGTTAAGACACAATTTCTAAAGCTCTTTTGTTTCCATTGTATAGCTGTTTTCTAAAAGGTGGTAAAATTCTTACAAGAATGTAGAAAACAAATTTAAGTCTTCAGAATATTTTTCTTTATTCCCACTGAAGTTATGGCTACATAAAGTATTGCTGGAAAACATAATTTATACTTTAAGGTGAATTAAAAGAACAATCCTGTTTATTATGTTTAGTCTTGCACTACTAGTAAATACTGAGATTGAGAACATCAGAGAGACAAATTTCTGCATGGCAAAACCCACCATAAACAACCTCAAAAGTTACTTGACAAAATGGAAAAAAAAAAAAAAAAGGTTTGTAATTCATGGCATGACCCAAAATAATACCCTACTATATGAAGAATGCCTACAAATCACTAAAAAATTCCCAACACCTTGCAGAAAAACAGGCAAGATGAGTTGAATAGACAATTTATAGAAAAGGAAATAAAAGTAACTCAAACATATTGAAATGATACTTTCAATCTCACTCATAATGAAAGATGCAAATTAAAACTACTTAGATAGGATTGAAAGGTGTTATAGACACTCTGGAAAATAACTTGGCAATTCTTTACTAAGTTAAAAACACATCATAAGACTTCGTATTTCCACTCCTAAGAATGTACCCAAGAGAAGTAAAAATATACATCCACACAAAGAATTACACTCAAATGCTCACAGCAGCTTTATTCATAATAGTCCCAAACTGGAAAAACCCCAAAAGTCCATCAACTGGTGAATGGATAAATAACTATTCAAACAAAAGAATACCACTCATCAATTAAAGGGAATGAACTAGTGACAGATACAATAGTATGAATGAATCTCAAAAACATCATGCTGAAAGAAAGGAGCCAGATGCAACAGGCTATATATAGGGTTGTCAGAAAAGTCATGACGCATTTTTGCAACGAAAAACATAGAAAAAATACGTCATGACTTTTCCAACAACCCAATATACTGTATAATTCTACTTATAGGAAATTCAACAAATGGCAAAACAGAAATGACAGAAAGCAGAACAGGGGTTGGCTGAGGTGGGGGAAAGGGAATACATACATGTAAAGGGGCACAAAGGAACTTTTGGGAGGGGGGAGACAGAAATGTTCTATGATCTGACTGTGGCGGTGACAAGTCTCTACATTTGTCAAAATTCACTGAATTGTGTCAAGAACTGTGAAGGCTTTGAGATTTTATCCTACTTGCAAGCTAACAAGTTAGCCTGCCAGTGTGCTGGACACCAGCAGAAGACATGAGGCTCTTGAGTCAGAAACAAAGGACTTTATTACTCATACCAGGAACAGTAGTCAGAGTTGTATCAGCATCTTCTTGTGCCAGTTGCCTGAGCCCCAATTCCCACATAGTGTTGTGAAGAGTCAGGTACACCTGTACACGCAGTGGGTTGCGTTACAGGAATAAGAAGACCAAGCTTAGGAAACATGATTCTTTTAAAATGGCAGTAAGCATGCCTACCCTTTACGCAGGAAGGAGACATTATCTCTAATTTCCAATGCTGTGAGCAAATCTGGCCTTTGCTCTATGAAAAGACACTACTTCTATCTTCCAACATCCTTGAAAAGATTGTCTACAAAAAAGGTAATCAGGGTTGTGCTCTTAAGATTTGCAGAAATGCAGGAGACCCATGGTGAATTGTTTCCTAACAAACTGTATTCTAAAAACTGGTGAATTTTATTGTTTATAAAATAGACCTCAATTAAAAACAAACAAAACCTACACAGACAAGGTTATCGCCAAAAGAAATGAGTGCTTAATTCCCCCAAAAGATATATGCAAGACAGTNGCATACATTTTTCCTTTAGCACACAAACTGCAGTGAAATTAGAACCAAGTTGTACAATTGGAGATTCAGGGGTGATATAACCACATGGATCTAGAAGTTCACCTGAAAAGGAAGAATAATAGAAAATATAAAATGAACTGAATTTTTCTGGTATAAAATGATATTTTGTATCAATGCAGTCCCTCAATCTTCACTAAAATATCTCTAAAGACACAGAAAAAGAACTGAAAATTAATATAGTCAGAATTTAAAGACAAAATTTATAAAGAAATACACTAATTATAAGGAAAATGGAGCTGGATTTAAAAAAACCAACAACACGCAAATCTATGCAAGCTTCAGCCCTTTCTTATAACATTCTAACTGCTTTGGGAAGCACAGACTGCCTGCTGCATGATTCAGACCGGCTCCACACCCAATCCTGTCCCTCCATTCAGACCCAGGGTCTAAATAAACCCTCCAAAAAACAGGCAGTGGTCATCTGTGCTCCTCTCCAGTCCTCAGTGCTGTTGGGGGTGTGAATGGGAACATGGAGGGATAGCATACATTGTTCAAATATAAAAATTCAGATAAAAAAGAAAATAGCAAGGGAATAAAAACCAGAAAGAATACAACAAGATGGCCAAATATATTAGTTTTAACAATAAATGTATAGGATAAAATCCCATATTAAAAAAACAAAGAATATTATATAAAAAATTAAACACAACTATATGCTTTAACTATCACCTATTCCATGTTGGTGACATCTAAACCCCTATCCCTAGCTCTTTCTGTTTTCAATAGCTACGAGACATATCCACCTGAGATATTCCATAGGTATTTAAAATGAGCATGTCTAAAACTATATGCATCATAGCCCCTTTCAAACTTATTTTTATTTCTCTATCTCTGCTAGTAGCACCATTCCCATTCAGTCATCCAGGCCAGATACCCTGCAGTCACCTTCAACATCTCTAATTAGACTCCTCCAACTTAACAATAATGCACTGAATCTTGTTGGTTCTATACTCTTAAGAGGACGGGGCATTTAAATGTATAGACGCAAATCTGCGTCACCGGTCCACAATGTGTTAATTTATAAAGAAAGTTGAGATACTTTCATAGAGTCAACCTAAATTATCAGCCAAACTCTTCCAAATCCCAACTTGGTTTCAAGTTAGACCACACTAAGGATTAAGCTACCTTAAAAAGCTAAACAAATTTTTTTACTCCGTATCTCTCAAAGCAAGCAGGAAAAATTAAAAACAGTTTTTGCAGTCCACATTGTACTGCTGAATGGAATCCTGGCACCTCTCATAAATGCAACAGGACCAAGTTGGAAAGTATATTTCTTTGTTTCAAAACTTATAACGTGGCCTGTTTACATGACCTTGCCATTACTTATACATGTCTACTATAAGTCCCAGTGCACATCTTACTCTAAATCTCCAATTGCATAAAACTTCATCTTGTGAGGTACTAATAAGTTACCCCACGATACTGGGCCACTCCTTCCAGCTCCCTAGACCTCACTTTATTCCTTGGTAAAATCACTTCCGTTTTACTTTCTCTAAAGTAATTACTGGAACAGTAAATATGAAATATAACTTAGAATATTACATAACATAAGATATAACCAGAGGCTCAATAGTAATAATTTTTAATCACATAGTTTAAGAGAAATACTAGAAATTGGCAAATGTTCAAGTTTTCGAAGTGAAACACGGGCTCATTAAAACCATTCCATGCCAAAGTAGTCCCATTTTTATAGAGCTAGAAGGCTATTTGAAATTTAAGTTGTAGCTTTTTTTTTTTAATTTAAAAAAAGGTATTTGATAAAATTAGTTGGGGTATTCATGTGAACAAGATGAGGAAATGTGGATTAGAATATACTATAAGAAATATTAGAATGAACAGTA